TCGTGGCGGCGCAAATACAACTGCTGCACACGAAACTAAAGGCCGTGACCCCGGCTCCCCCTCAGCCGGAAACGGCAGCATCGCCGCCGTTGGCCCTCGCAGACCCACTCCCGGCCGAAAAGGAGCCGCAACCACACGACAAGGCAGAGGGCAACGGTGAAGAAGAAGAAGAAGAAGAGGGTGAAGAAGAGGAAGAAGAGGGGGAGGAAGAGGAAGAAGAGGGAGAGGAAGAGGAAGAGGAAGAAGAGGGGGAAGAAGCGGAGAGTGATGCGGTGTGGCAGGCAACGGAGCGAAGGCCGTCGCGCTACGTAGACCCCACAGCGATGATGTTTGCATCGCCGCTGCCTGTCGGCGACGACAACCAGGACAACCGCCGCCGCAACGGCAGTGGGGCAGCCGACGGGGCCAAGCCCTCCGCCCGCGAAGGAGCTGGCTGAGGAAGCGCAGGGAGAAGCAGCGGCCGCGAATGATTCCCGCGTTCTGCGTCTCTAACAAGACAAGAGGCCATGATGACGGGCGTCGGTCGACGAATTCAGCGCTGCTGCTGCTGCTGCGGAGACTGCATCAATCGTACCGCAGGGCTTCTACGACCTGGGCGTCTGCATCCCAGTTTGCGTGTGCGTTTATCATGTGGAGGGGTGGAGGACCACTTGTGGCTACCAGCACTTACTTGCTTTTTTTTTTGCCTTTTTATGTTTTTGTTGTTGATTTGCGTCCGTTGTCCCTCTCGCCTCGTTGGAGCGCGTCTTCCCCACCGCATGCACGCGTGTCTGCTGCATACTTCCGCCTCCGGTCTCAGGGCAGTTTTCTCAATGGCACAAACCCACGCAGATAAAACGGCTGGCAAGAGAGTTTATATGTGCACTGCTGGTTTGGGCGTCGGCTTCTATATCCTTTTCATCCCTCCTGGTCCTATGCCGAGCCCTGAGATAAGCAGCCGGCGATATTACAAGCACGGAAACGCACAGATAAGTACACTTGCGTATAATCTTAGCCACCTAGCTTCTTTTTATTTTTATTTTTTCTTCTTAGCGGGGGGTGGGGAGTCATCATGGCAGCGTACCCCAGCGCCAACACTGAAGGTGTGCCGCCACCAGCGGCACCTGCACTTCAATGCCGTCGATGCCGCCAGCGCGTTATTTGCTGCCCCGGCTGCGGTGTGGCAAGTTTCAATCTGATCGACACCGCAGCGCTTCACAGATGTTATACAAAGAATCCGGCTCCCGCTGCCGCTACGAGTGCTTGTGCGGGTGCTAGTAGGGGTGGAGGTGGTGTGAGGTGGGCGTGTCCCCCGCCTGCCAGTGACTGCGGGGCGTCCGCACTGAGTTCTCCTCCTGCGGCGCCAACGGCGTTTGAGCTTTTCTGCCGCGACGCGGAGACTCGACAAGGCACCGTGGTGGATGACGACATAAATGAGCCGGTGGTGCGAGAGAACGCGAAGGAGGAGGAGGAGGGGGAAGGGCGACGCAACAGAAGGCGCCTTTGCGCTGAGGCTTGGCTTTCCGCAGACGCGGAAACGCGGGAACGCTACGAACTCGCCGCGACTGCGTTTGCGGCGGCGGCGGCGGCGGCGGCGGCGGCGGCGGCGAAGACGCCAATTGTGGCAGGCGGGGATGCCTCAGCGAGTCCCCGGAGGGGCCGGGGGAGACCCGTGGCATCGAGCTCGCGAAAGGCGCCGACGCCTGCGCCAGGCTGCGGAGAGGGCAGAGACGCCCCTGCTTCTGCGGCACCGGCAAATGCGCGGAGCGACGACGGAAAGCGGGCGAGGTCGTACCGGCGCCCCATGACGTCGTTTCGTCTCTTCTGCAACCAGAACCAGCAGAGGTACCAGACTGACGGTGCACTGCTGAAGGCGTGGAGGTCGATGAGCCCTGCGGAAAAGAAGCCCTACGACGACGAAGCGGCTGCCATCCGCGTGACACCGCGTGCAAAGCGGTCAACTCTTCCCTTTAAGAACTGACTTGACGTTGTTGGATTTTGTTTGGTGTCATCCAGACAGAGTGGGATGGTTCCTTTTCCTTTTTTTTTCTTCTTTTTTTACTACCGGGGGTGGGGGGAGCTGACACCGTCTGTGTTTGTGTTTTCACTTGTGTCTTCGCTGCGTGGCCGCCGGAGTGCCGGGGGACGAGGAAACCGTGCGGGATGAGTTGCCTGGTCGCCCCTCCACTGCCTGTGTGTGTGTGTGTCTCTCTCTCTCTCACTGGGTGCCTTCATTTTCCCCTCTTGTTTTTTTTCTCTCTTTTTTTTTTTCTCGCGGCGGACTTCACGCACGCGTGCGTGCGTACGCTCTCGCAGCCAAGGGCGCCACGCGTTGAAATGAACAGCGACGGCGCGCCGGGAGGAGTGTGTGGGGCCACTCCCGCCGCGGCCGAGCCATCGGCGTCGGCGCAGGCCGCCGGCAGCGGCACACGTGCGGCCCCACCCGAAGCACCGTTTCCGTTTCCGCGCACGATCCCCGCGGAAGCCGCGGCCACGTTTTGCTTCGTGGTATTCCTCTGCAACCGCTCTCCCCTCTTTCACTCAAACCGCATTCCGCCGCGCGAGGACACGCCGCCGTACGCCCCCGGTGACATTGTCTACTTTGGGCCCACGGAGGAAGTGGCGCAGCAGAAGCTGCAGGAGCTGGCCTTTCCGCTCGGGTTTGCCTGCAAGAGCTCCTACACGCGCAACGGCCCCCTCTGGAACTCCCGCCTGGAGTCGGTGCGGAAGCTGGACAAGGTGCGATACCACCGGCTAATTATTACCTCCACCTTTGTCGTCTCCGTCGCCGTAGAAAGCGGTGAGCTGCGGACGATGCAGACAAAATACGCTGCCGTGGCGTTGGTTGTCACTTCTCCAGCGGATAAGCCGTACCATCAGTTTTTGGTCAACAACTTCGCGAGCGTGGCGCGAAACATGCTGCACACCGCCCTCAGCTTTGCAATGAAGGCCACACAGCTCTTTTTTTTGAAGCTTTCCCCCACGACCGCCGTGGGAAAGTTGGTGGCGGAGTTGGAGCGAGGCTCGCAAGCGTTGCAGACGCACCGCACGCTGGGATCGATTCTCGTCAATGCCTTCGCACACGATCATGCCATCCCCCGCCTGCATAGTCGCCTTGCTAACGTGAAAGTCTCAAGTTTCTTTCTTGCCTCCGCCAGGCAACCGCCTTGTGCCACGGATTCCGTGGGGAACTTATTGAGTGGCGCGCTGCATAGTTTGTGCTGCTTCAGTGAGTCCTTCACAAGCCGTGTCATTGCCGGCCTGCTGACGCTGTCGAACTGGGAGCGGTGTGGCCCTGGTCAAGCCCACGTGGAAGCGCAGCAGCCGCGTCACGGCGTCGGGGAGGCCGCAGAGGCCGTTGACATCTACGGCGACTATTGGAGTCGGATGGAGACGGCGGAGGGGAGGAGTTGTAGTAGCTGTGGCGGCAACATCAGCAGCGGCAGTGGCAGCGGTGGCGGCAGCGGTGAACAGAAGAACTACGGGATTGTATCCCCGGTATTGGGGCCGTGCCAAAGTGTAGACAGGAACAACAGCAACAATATCGTCAGTTATGGTGACACGGAAAGCGTTTCCGCCACTGTCGGGGCTCAGCGGTTGGACAGATCAGATTTTAATTCTGCTTCCATGACAAACTCCGCACCTTCCACGACGGCGCGTAGCACGGATCCTGGCAACGATGTCTTCTGTCTGCTTTCATCGCAACGTGTAGGACGTGTGGTGATCTTCTCCACGGATCCAGAACTGGCGCGGTGTTTACTGATTGTGTCAGCCTTTTTTTTCAGAGACCATCGTGCCATCATTGGCACTTCAAGTCGCCTCTGCGATGACGTGCCTTTTGCGGGGAAGGTGCTCTCATGCGTCTACCCTTCCTTTCCGGTGCAGTGGGTCATGGAGGAGTACGACGAGGCCCGCGTGGAGCGATTGCTTTACTCCCCGCACTCTGTAGATAATCTGCTTTTGGTTATTGCCCCACGTAGCGGGGTGTGCGATCGCATGCGACTGGAGAAGCGGTTTAGCCTCATTCCTATTCTGGTGGAGAAGTTCAAAAAAGGCTTTCAGCCCGTGTGTCCGTTTCATCAACGCACTCTCAGTGTCGTGAGAATGCTTCCGGACAAGACGGTGTCTTCCGCGCTGCAGAAAGCGCGGCGGCTGCAGAGGAAGAGTGGCGGTGCGGTGAGCTGCGCCGTGTTTTTCGAGTTTTTCATGCTCGGGCTCGTGCGACAAAGCCAGCTGTGCCACCTGCAACGGCAGTGCGCCGAGGCGGAAGGGGCGTCGGTGTCGCTCCTTTCGACGCCCTCGCGGGGCGCGGCCTCCTCCTCCCACGCCTCTCGCATCGGGTCGCACATGTCGAGGCTGTTTTCCTTCCTCGGCCGGGCAGACGCTGGCGCTGCGCGTCACCGCGACCTTCCGCGTTGCCCCTCGGCGGACGCCGCCGCCGCCGCAGTGCCCATCGACGCCCCCGCGCCGGCGTATCTTCCGCGTGCCTCCTCTGAAGACGGCCCCGGCCGCATCTTCGGGGGTCTGCAGGTGAACTCGCAGTTGATGGGCCTCTTGGCGGAGTGCTGGAAGAGCGACCGAGAAGTCGCGTGAGCCTCCGAGTTTTCGCACGGCGACAGACACGGACGGTCGACCTCACGCAGAGGAATAATAAGAGCGGGGCAAAGTCCTTTTCTTGCTGCTGCTGTTCTCCCGCCTACGTGCAAGTGAGGTGCGGGTGTCGCAGAGGCGGAAACGCAATAATAACAAAAACAAAAGCAAAAAAGAGGCCTCGAAGGCACAAATAATATATATATATATATATATCTTTCCGAAAATTGTGAGAAATGAAAATGACGGTCGACCGTCTCTGCGTGTGTGACTTTTGAAGCGCGCGGGCGATACAGCCGACAGCGGCCTTTAACAGGGGCCGCTTGTGTTGTAGTTCATATGGCTGTTAGTTTTTCTTTGTCTCTGCGACTACTACCACAGCTACGTTTACTAGCCTGGCAATTGCGCGGTTTGTTTACCCCTCCATCCTTCTCATCCTTTGCCTCTCTCCCCTTCGCTTTCCATCACTGCTGTCTTGCTGTGGAATGCTTCTCTGGCTCCCTCACCGCCATGCATGGGAAGTCTTCCGACGGTGACTCCTCCTGGGGTTTTTTGCGGCGATCCATCTGCGCTGGTGAGGTGGCGTGCGCATCCGTTACGACGATGTTTACCATCACAGGAGCTCCAAGGCTGGCGTACGCCTGCCTTCTCTGTGCGTAACGTGTGGAGTTGGGTGCATGCGTCTTGTCGACGCCTACTTGTAATCGCTGGCTTCCTTTTGGTGTTTTGTTTTGTTCTTCCGTTTGTCGCCATGCTTCGCCTCCGCCCCCTTTTTGCCTTTTTTTTATATTTTTCTTCCGCAGTTAGTGGAGCCAAGTAACGGCAAGTGAGGGACGAGGCCTGCGTGTGTTCTCCGCGGCGGCATTTTGCATACATCAGAAATGCTCTCTACCAGGCGTTTGCTCGCGGCTGCCGGTGGCGCGGAGACGACGGCCTCGTACCGTAAGGGGAGCTACCACCTCGTCCCGAAGAAGCACACCATCGGCAGGCGTATCGCGGTGCGCAGTTACCTTGACCGCAACCGGACCGAACTCTCTGACCGAACTTACATGCCACAAAAGGCCTGGTTTGAGCCCTACACCCCGAGACAGTTCGAGAGGGAGCATGAGGAGCTTAGATACAACTTCTACAACCTTGAGACGAAGCTGATTTGGACTGCCTTTGACACCCCCGAGAAGATCGGTATTTTGCTCCACGACGAGACCATCAAGGGGGCCAGGCACCTCTACGACAAGGAATTCCTGGACGCCGCGTTGCACTGGACCCAGGAGGCCCGCTACTGGCGTTGCATTGGTATTACGAAGCCCTTTTACAACAAGACAACGCTGCGGGCGCACTGCTGGCACGATAGGGGCATCCAAGTTGGGACACTTGTCCTTTCACAGGCCATGCGTCACGCGTTAATGGATTTGGAGCGCGCCGTTCGGCGAAAGGAGTTGGGCCTGCAACCAAACTACATCTGGGACCGTTGGGGGCCGATTGGCTTCATTGATGGCGCCAAAACCGACTACTTGCCGCGATTCGCACATAACCCGTACGTTGACCCGGACGGTGTCGAGGTGACAGAGCTCGATGTGGCGCCCTTCAACACACATGAGCAGATTAAGGAGCGCTATGGCGCCTTCATAGACCCCGACCTCACCCCATTCGATGGTGTTTTTCGTGCACCTTCACACGGTGCCCTGACCCTCGACGACGTGCCGGCGCAGGCGGCGGTGGAATTGTTCCGTCAGCTCAAATCAAAGGCCGGCACACCAGTGTTTCTCGGCGGCGGAGCAGAAATTGCCCCGGCGGACATGCGTGCCCTCTTCTACCTTAGCGCCGATCCTGAGCGGCTTGAGAAGGCTCAAGGCGTCGATTCCTGGCAAGAGGTGCGGGAAATGTTGGCTCCTCTACAGGACACGTGTGATGAAAAGATTGAGGCCCTTCGACTGTTGCAACATACACGCCATGACGCGAATCGTGTTCGCTCTTTCTATGAGGAAAAGTGTGGGTTTGCGGATTTCATGTATACCCCCGACAAGGTTATCACCGCGGCGGTGCTGTGTTACCTGCAGGAGTTGCACCGCATATGCACCGAGACAGACTGGGGCAAGCCGCTCGCCCTTGCCTTGACGGACATGGAAAGAGCCCAAGTAATGGGCAGAGATGCCTTTTTGGTGTATCGCCACATTGAGGATGCGACTCTTGACAAGCAACGTCGCACCTGGGCGACGCGCTTTGCGGGTGAGGCAAACGAAGAGAGCACCCTGGATTACCTACTTGAGAACTTTGGTCGTCGCACGGAGCAGACTCGCAACGTCGGTTCCACTGGCACAGAATTTGACCGAGAGCAGGAGCCAATTGGCCGCCAGGTGCAGAGGCGCGTTCTTGATTCGGACAAGGCCCACAAACTGGCTGAGGCCCGCCAGAGGCGGGGCAAGATGTGGTCCCAGAAGAAGAGTGTTTTTGACTCGCTTCATCAGAAGCAGCTGCAAAATGTATCGTATGGTGTTCGTTAAAATTGTTGTATGTGCGTGGGCGTGTGTGGATCGTTGCTTGCCTGGTCACTCTTCTGAGGACGGCTGCGAAGGAAGGAAGGAGGGGGGCGAGCGGGCGAGATTGAGGAGAGTGACGCAGTCAAATGGTTGTTGATTCATGCAATTCACATCACTTGGCCTTCCCGATTTGCTTTGCGCGACGGCCGCCGTACACGCAGAGATGAGTGGAGACGTCTACTTTTTTTTTTTTAATTTCTCTTCTCTCTCCTTTTTTTTTACATTCTTCTTCCTTCCCTGCTGCACGCCTGCCATCGCTGGCGACAAAAGCTACGTGAGGTGGGGAGGGTCCGGCTGGTCCCCACGGGCGGTTTGGATCTTTTCTCTCTGCGCATTTGCACTACAGCGCCACTGCTGGCACCCCTGCCAGGGTTGCCCCGCCCCCTCGTGCTGCGCTACACGGGCGGCTGCGGCCAGGAAAGCGGGAAGGAGGAGAGAGCGGGGGCACGCGGTACCTCAAGCGCAACCCAACCCCCGGCGCGAAGAAAAGCAAAGAAAAAACCCATAAACAAGGGCTGGGGTGGGGGTGGGTGTGCTACCCGCGCGCACGTGGGAGTGAAGCTAAGGGCCAACTCCACCGCAGGCCATCGAGGAACTGGTACACTCGTATACATTGCAACTATATATATATATATCAATAGATAGCTGCACCCTTGCACTCTGCGCCTGCGTAAGACCCCAATAGCATAAGTTTTACGCGCACATATAACCGAGGGTTACTCTGCAGAAATATATATATATATATATATAGGGAATGACCTCGCATGCGCCGCCGAAGCTACTCGGCAGGATGCCAAGCCGCAAGCCGAATCAGCACCACCTCCCGCCACTGCTCCCTCCATCCTCACCGCCCACCACGGAACCGATTTCTCCTGTTGGGTGTCGGGCGATCGCGCCCCAGCCTACATCGCTTTCAGGCAGGGCCTCGCGCCGAGGTAGTGCCTCCCTACGTAACTGCTGCAGTGTCACGAAAATGGGGTTTATGGCCGAGGCAGATTCGCGTCATGCAGCACGCCATAGCGAGGAAGATGTAGTTAGCTACGCCGTGAAGCATCAACTGCCCAATTTGGTCAACGATATGATTGAGGACTTGCTGCGTGAAAGACCTGAGGAGGATGTGGAGGGGTGGATTTTCCGTTGGTTTGCGCGGGAGTATGAGCGGCGTCAATTGGGGTCGCGGCAACTGCTGGTGCGGTCACGCTTCCATTCCTTTCGACGAGATGCTGCCAGCAGAGAAGCGCCTAAAATGAGTGGGGAGCCCTTTTTGGTGCGATCGTCGTCGTCTGTGTCGTCGGCGCGGCGGGGGTCGAGGACCACGCTCCCTTGCAGCGGGACGGTGCTGGCTGTTGGCGGCCCCGCGAAGGAGGAAGTGGCGACCGAGTCGCAGCCACGGGCCGTGTTGGGTTCGCCGCAGTGCAACACTGTTATGTACTCGCCACCGCCCATGGCGGGAATAGTGGCACGCGGCGTCACGGTGCCGCTGCCGTCAGACTTTGCCCCCACCAGTGGGAGCCCGCTGATTACCACCATCATTGCCCAGCGTTCCCTTCCATTCCCCCGGGACCCCCCACAGTTGTCAGCTGGGGAGGAAGAAACCGTCGTGCCGCGGATACCACGCGGCGCGGACTTCCGACTCAAGTCGCGTTCCCCCCACACTGTAGATGTTTGCGGCAACAAGAACAACAACAGCGACGGGAGTCTGGCTCCAAGCCCTGTGTGACACACTGCACTGACGCAGAATAAGAAGTTCAGTCTATATGGTTTGCAGGCGTGTTACCCAGAGCATGTACGAGTTGTTCTCTCATTTCTTTTTTGTTAGCAACCTCGTGGACGTCCATGAGGCACCGTACCACCTGGGAGTTCCTGTTAACAGGGCCCCATCATCTGTTTTTGAGAGTTTCCTTTTTTTTTTTTTTTT